AATATTTAATATTTAATAAATTAATATTAATTTACAAAATAATATTTTTAAATATTATAAATAATTATTGAAAAAATATATATAGGTGGCCCCAACAATTTGGGTGACCGCAGCCAACAAGAGCAGATTGCCTCCTTCATTTCGGAGAAAGTGGGGCTCTCTTCACGTGAGATTGAGTGGTGCTGGGCTCCGCGATTGGCCTAGTTTGTTTTGTTTTCTTATATCACTATCCTTAACAAAGTATGGTTGCTAGCTACGGCCTAGGGTACAAAATGAGAAAAGGACGTGACAATTTTTTATTACCTTTAGTATAAAAATATATATATTTGTTCAACAAAACCTTTTAATTTAATGGTTAATGCACCTGGCACTTGAGACTTAGTGGCATTAGCCACAGGTGCATTCCCTACTCTGGGCAAGATTCAAAATCCATCCCTTGCAAAATATGTTCAAAAAAAGATTTAATGATTAATATTTAAATTTTAGTATTTAAATTTAATTGATTGAAAATTTCACTTTCACCAACAAATTAAAAAAATTTCTCACTCTATACTTTCTCATGTTTACAAAAAAATATTTATTACCAGATACTTAAACATGTGCTTTAACTCATAAATTATTACACGCTTATTAGTAAAAAAACACAATTATTTAATTTAATAAATAATTTAGTAATTTTTATATTTTTATATTTTATTTATTATTTTAATATTTTAAATTTATCTATTCTTTTATTATTATTTTAGTTTAATTTAATTTGTTAAATTTTTAATCGTAGTTTTATTTTTATTTGGTCAAATTAATTTTTCAATATATCTTTAATGAATTTTTATTTTTTAAAATTGATTTTGAGATAAAATTAATTTTATAAAGATAATAAGTTTCTTTTTATTGTCTAAAAAACTATAATTTTTATCACATGCTGTTTCAATTTTTCATTTTAGCAATTCTTTTTTATAGTAAAAATCATAATTATTAACATATTTTCTTTGTGAACTATTTTATTAGTTGGGATCACACCATTTTAATTTTAATTTAATTTTTTGTTATTTTTCTATTAAAATTAGTGAAAATTTTGTACAATAAACTGTATAAAATATTTTACAAAATTTATAAATTATTTAGAATAAACTAACTTTTTAAACTAAAATAAAATTAAACTAATAATTAATAGATTAATAATTGAATTAAGTCCAATTGATTATGTTAAGGACATGTTTAAATATATAATAAATATATCTTTTTTTAATAAATTTATATTAAAAATAAAATATTATTTTTAATTTATTAATTATTTAATTAAATTAATATAATTTTTATATTTTTAATATGTATTTGTAATAAAAAAATATTCTTAATTTATGTCTTTAGATACGTATTAAAAAAAATTCAAAAAAATCCATTATTTTCACTTTGACTGTACAACTAAATACATATTTCATTTGAATATTAAAAAAAGGGTTAAATATTTCAGTTTTACGCCTTTCTAGAGGTACAAATCAGTAAATCAGTGGCAGCCTTAAAGCAAAATTTATTTGTCCTGTAAAACCACCATATGGATCTATTTAGTTTGATACATTTCTTTCAACATAATTTTATCTTGAAAAATTATTATAGTAAAGTTGAATGTTAAGATTACATAAATTGTATTTAATTTGATTAATGTTTTAATATTTTTCTAACACTAAATAAATTTATCGTATAATATATATTAATTATTTTATTTGATATGCATAAATTATTCTTAATAACTAAAATTACATTAGAATTAATGCTTTAAAGATAATATTTTATAATCTTAATATATCCATTTGTGGCATAACAACACCGAACAATCTCCGTAAAGTAGACAGTCAAAGCACACCAAAGACAGCACCGGTTTGAAACTTTTTTTTTTTTAACTAATAATACGAATGAAATTATATTGGATTCCAACTAATTTAAAATTAAGTCGTATCGGATCTTATAAGGAGAAAACTCTCTTAATACTTTTTTTTATTCATAAAACTTAAGATCTTATTTGTAAAAAAAAATCAAATTTTTTCAATTCTAACCAGTGGGTTGTTACTTGTTAGTGACATTTTTAAACTTGTTTATAACAAGCAAACACAAGCTTTAGAGCATAAAGGTAATTCAAGTTAAAAATGGGCCTTTGGGCTTTTAATATTTTATTTTGTTAGTCGGCCCACTTTTAGCTCCTTTCTATGGGCTGAGATTATCTTCAGGAGGCTAGGAGCAGTTTAGTTTTCTTGAACTTTGCATCAAGTTGTTTTTTAGCCCGAGAATAAAAATTTTGACCCTAGAATTCTCCCTCCAGTTCTTGTTCTCATCTCCGAATCAATTATCAATGCGCCACAAAAAGACTGACTGCTCCGTGCACATATAAAAACAAGATGGTGTCGCAATTGGCTCTGAGACTTTTTAAGTTTTCCCTCAATGCTACTTTTAGCTCAAGAATTGGTTACTAGCTTGAATCCCTGTGTTTGTTACGGTTCTTGTGGTTTTAGTTAGAAAAAACCAGCTGGGTCTACTGTTTAGCATCCGCTTTATTCTTGAAGCTTTTAGAAGGTTGAGAATGCAAATTATGTTGTTGGATCACATCTGGGTTCCAATTCCGTCTAATGAGTTATTAGGTTCCCTTAGAAAAAGCAGAAGTGAGGAATAATCATTCTCACAAAGTGTTTGTTAAAATTACCATATGTTATGCCACCTCTAGACTATATGGCTACATCATTACTTGCTGGGGTGGTTAAACATATACCTGAAGAAGTCCTTGAAAAGCAGGAAATTAGTGTGGTGGCTGGCATTGCAGGGTCAGAATGGGTGAGATAAATTTTGGAAGAAGTTTGTGTTGGGGCGGGGGTGCAAATGATGGGTCATGGAGCTTGTAGCCTCATTTGTTTTCCATCTTAATGGCATCTAACATCTTTGACACCATTTGCTTCAGCGTTAACAGCGGTGGATTCAATAACAACATTCATTGTTTGGCAAGTTGGGTCTCTGTTTTTCTTTCTCTCTCACATCTGATGGGGGGTGCAAATGATGGGTCATGGTGCCCCTTTATTTATTTATTTTTTTTGAAAAGCATGGAGCCCCTTTATGATGGCAAGATTGTAAGCTTTCGAAGCATGGAACTGAAACACCGGACTGTTCACTGGTCTGCGCCTCTACGTTAAAGTTAAGCACACTGAAGGCTGAACTTCAGGTCGTAGGGGTCCTAGTCCGATACCAAGATTTGCAGTATCAATATCTGGACCAATATCCAACTAGTAGAAGGCAGGTCATAGCCCTGTTCCAATAAGTTAAGAGCAGTAAATTATCTGCTTATTGTCAATAATTAGGAATCTTCAGCTCATAAATTCACAGATTTGAGCGCACACACTGAAGGCTCAACCTCAGACTGTTCCGTCCGCTACCAAGATTTTGCAGTATCAAGGTTGAGGTGAATGTCCTAGAAGTAGAAGGCAGGTCAGTACTCTGTACCAATAAGTGAGAGTAGCAAGTTACTTGCTTATAGTCAACAATTAGGAATCATTAGCCCATATATTGACAGAGTTGAGAGTGCACAAAGATTTTGGCAATATTTATATCTGTATGCACTTCACAGCTTCATTCTAGAACTGCTCTTGATCACAGAATTTAATTCCTTGAGTAACATGCCATTTACCTAAGCTGTCTAGTGGAGTTTATATTTTCCAAATTTACTTGCTTCCCCTCCTTGAAACTGTTATTAGAACTTTCATGGACTTACTATATGAATTTGTTTTTTGCTCCCATTTAACTGTGGTGATTAGGTCCTAAGGGAGCTGGAAAGATATATGAGATACATTGACCGTGCATCATGGAATAGAAACAGAGTATGGCATACCCCAGAACCTATGGATTTATACTTTAGGGCCAAAGAAAACCTGGAAATTATAATTACTTACTAACACAGACAAACATAAATTTTGAATGGATACAGGAGAAATAGTGTAGACAGATAAACCAGGGACCAGGGTTTTCCTTCTTCTTTTGGCCAAACAGAACCTAGAGATTGAAACATTATTAACAAAAACAGAAGAGACACAGATTGATGCAGACTTAAGAACAAATAGCAAAAACAGGTAAAACAGAAAGCAAGTAGATTTTTCTTACTTTCTTCTTCTTCTTCTTCTTCTTTCTTTTTTTTTGGCCTAACAGAACCCAGAGATTGAGTTATATTTTTGACACATACAGAACAGACACATATTTACATCGATTTAGGGACAAATAGTATTGGAAGATAAAGCAGAGTCTGGTGGTTTAACTTCTAATTATTCCTGTCCTCTGCTTTAGGATAGTAGGATCTCCATGAGCCTTTCTTCTGCTTCTGAGATGTGAAGCATGTCAACGAAAAGCTGGTTATGCAGCATCCTCAAAAGCTCCAGGTCAGCTTCTTTCTCCTCCATTGCTTCTACCATTTCTGCCGCTCCCTCTGTCATGTGGCTGGTTTCCGCTCTTGCCTCTGCAGCTTCTGCTTCCATCCTCAGCAGAGTCGTCTTCTTTCTCTTAAGCTGTTTGTTGAACTGCTTTAAGCACAAAATCAAAACTAAAATTAGTTTATCTAAAGGAGTTTAGGATCAAGTAGAGGACTTTGCTTAAGAAACTGATGGTACCTTAACGTTCAGTCTCTGTCGCTTTTTGGC